TATATACTATATATAGATATATATAGATATATATAGATATACTACCTTGATCAAAAAGTTCCCGGAATTCATTCAGAAAATTCAAAATACAAGTTTTATTCATCAATGATATTGTCCCCTTCAAAGTACTCCCCATCGACTGCAACGCACTTATGCCAGCGCTTGATCCAGCTCTCGAAACATTTCTAGAACTCTATTGTCGGTATAGCCATCAGAACCGGCTTCGATTTTTCCATTACCTCCTTCGGCTGTTAAAACGCGTTCCCCGTAATGATTTTTTGACTCGATCGAACAGAAAAAAATCGCAGGGAGCCATATCAGGTGAATTCGATGGCTGTTAGATGATATTCGTTTCGTTCTTGATCAAAAATTCACGGATAATGATGGCACTGTGTGACAGTGCGTTATCATGCAAAATCCACGAGTTGTTTGCCCACAAATCCTTTCTTTTTTGGCGAACTGCTTCACTCAAACGTCTCATAATAATACTCCTTATTAACTGTCTGACCTTCTGGCAAAAATTCGTGATGTACAATAACATTGTAATGAAAACCATGAAAACCATGAGCATCGCTTTCTTTTTCGACTGAAAACGACGTGGATTTTTTTATCTTGGCTCATTTGAAGCTTTCCATTCACTCGCCTGATGTCTGGATTGCGTGTCATACTCATAAACCCACGTCTCGTCTCCAGTAATGATGCGTTTGATGAATGTTGGATCGGATTCAGCCTTGGAAATCATGTCTTTGGCGATGACAACGCGGTCCCTTTTTTGCATGAAATTCAGTTCCTTCAGGACCAACTTTGCAGCAACACGGCGCAAACCCAAACCATTAACTACAATGTCCTGAATGGATCCACAAGCAATGTTTATGTCCTCTGCCAGCTCTCTGATAGTTAATTTGCAGTTATTGATCAACATTTCTTTCTTTATTGATGTTTTCGTCGGTTTTCGATGTCGACAGCCTGCCACTGCGTTCGTCATCCTCGACGGACTCACGTTCATAAACGGTTGTTTTCTTTAGAGTATCACTGCCGAAACAGTTTCCCAACATTTCCAAGGTTTTCACACCATTGAATCCATTTTTAACGCAAAATTTAATACAACTCGTTGTTGCAAATTCAACTCCATTTTTAAAACTAAAAAATCGAAAATACGTGCAGAGGTAAATGTACTCAAGACGGCGTAACATTTACAAATGTCAAGCTATAGTGATAAAATTTGGTGGGAATGTCAATGATAGATGTGGCAACCTAACCAAAAAAAAAACAGAACTCAAATCAGAGCATCACCTGATGGTAATTCCGGGAACTTTTTGATCAAAGTGGTATTATTTGTGCGACATCTTCTGCGCTTGACTCCTACTTTCGGCTTACAAATCGGTTTCACTTTTTTCGTTCGCGCGCTATCAAGTTGAGTCTCCTTCTCTCTTACTTCGTGATCTTTACTTATTTAAAATGTTGCAACGTCATCTCTTACATGATTGAACACCTACTACTAAACATAATTACTGCTTTATTTATATGCATTCTGAATCTTCGCTCAGCGTTCGTATACACATAGCATGGAGGATAAAGACTAAGGAGTCTCCTAGAGACTAAGGAATCGAACTTATTTGGATAAGGCCGTCAAAAAGCATGGTCAAAAGTGATCTGAATTAGTTCGATCGAGATATCTCTTTCGTTCCACGACATTGTTCTCGCAGTTTGCAGTAGGTCATACGGATCATACCAATTTTACATGAAGAATGCTCCATTTATATAGTTTTAGTGACAATTTATGTGAATTTATGTCTTCCTGTTACTGTCAGAGCATGATAGCAACAGGAAGACGTAAATTATAATATCAAAGAATAACGTCTCTATTCTTAGATTATGTGTATTCGGTTGTGTGTGCATAAGCGTATATGAAAGGAGTTTTGCCGCCTACCGAGCGCCACCAATACCAATTCAGAACCTAATTTTGATCACACTTTTCAAAGCCTAGTCTCTGTCCTCTATGACACGTAATTTACAGATCGATGTACAGAGTATCTGGAATTTAAATGTCAAAATTTCGAAAACGTGAGGATCAATAAACTAATAGTATTTTCCACTGGAAAAATTGGTGCAACACTGGTGTGCACTGAGTGCAATTGTGTTGTTCCATTATAAAATTAAGTTTAGTGTTTAATGTTCTATTAATAAAACTGGTGCAAAAAACTTGCACTGAATTCAACTTTTGATCCACTGTCTTTGAAGTCAGCAAATTGAAATTGAGGTTATTATATTCACTAAGGTATAATATTATATTATATGCTATTACATTATTATAATATGCTATTACATTATTGTAATGTTATAACAATGATAATGTTTAGTTTCAATGTTTCTAATAATAACTATGCAATGACATTTTTACGTTTGAAATAAAAAACTCTTGAAATAAAAAATTTAATTTTTAAAAATGTTTTAAATAAATAAATAAATCAGAATATTGTAAAATAAATAATTTAACAAATACGATAAAGAAAGACCAAGATCGGTCAGTTTTGAATATTATTAAATCAATTTATTCTAGATATATAATAAAAGATTTAATAAAAGAATATATAATGTATTATTTATAACATCCAAAATTTGACCGATCTTTCTTTATCGTATTTGATGTATTTACATATACGGTCATGTTTGAAATTCTGAATATGTAAATAATTTAAGTTTGAACATAATTATATATATTTTTAGGGACATTTGCATAAACATTGATTTGTTGATATTTGGTGCAGCTTCGATTTGATTTCTTAATTGTTCTATTTAATTGACTTCGAATAAACTTCTTGCTTTAGGATCTCCTCCTCTCCACACAGAAAGAAGTCCAGTGATGTCAGATCATGTGATCGGGGTAGCCAAGATATTACTCCTCCATGTCCAATCCATCGTTGTCAGAAATGTCTAACAAAACTCGAGTAATTATGCATAATGACTGGACACTCATCGCGTTGAAATCACATTTCAATCCGTTGCTACAGGTGGATATCTTTTAAATAATTAAAGAAGTCAGTAAATTTCCAAAAAATCTATATATCTGGCTGCAATTAATCTGTCGAGTAAAAAACATGGTCCCACTAGACAAAAACAAACAAAAAAGTTTTCACTTGAATTCACGGAATTATTATTATTGTTTTCGTGTATATGTTTTTAGCGACGATAATACTGTTAAGTCTTGACGACTTCACAATTCTTTTCTTTCGTGGAGAAAATCTGTTTTTCTCTCAAATGCGAATAACGGGGTCAATGCATGAATCGAATATTGATTTTGTTTATTAATAAATGACATCAATTAAAGAAAAAAAAATTGTTAGTGTTCGATTGAAAGCGTGTATTGGATCTATGATTCACAGATAAACCTTTTTCTGACTCACATATAAAACAAGGAAACACATTAACTACTCCTATTCTTTCGAAATAATTGAAAAACCTTTGGAAAAAAGAGTGAATTACGTATTCAAAGTCTAAGTACTGAATTGCATCACACCTCGATATATATATATATGGTCCTTCGGAAAAGCGCAGTCAGTCATTAAAAAACTTTTCGAGCAGTCATAAAAATCTATCAGTTGGTCATAAAAAAAAAAAATCTTTCGAAGTGACATTCAAAATCAGTCGACAAATTTAAGTGCGGTTTCTCGGCTCAATGCAATCCAATCAAAACTAACAGTCCATATTAAAGATTTTTCATCTTAAGTTAAGAGCTATCACTGGGACACCACTGAGACATCACCAAGCATTCTCGCTGTAATTCGCCACCACTTCCAGTAAACAGTAAGAATAAATTCCTTTTTTTGTTTTTTTTCTTTTTTCTTTCCTATGTTACTTTGCAAGGTTATATGACTATCAATATTCTCTCGCTCCCTCATTCCTCCTCAATCTATTCTCCCTTTAACACACAGATGTATCTGCCTATCTTTTCTCCTAATTGTAAATATTAATTGTAAAATATTAAATACTTTTTTTATTTTGTATAGGAGAAGAAAAATCTTCACTTTATCCTTACCCAAGGGGGACACCCATCAGGGAGGGAAGACACTCAGCGGCTCACATCACTGGGTGTACCGGATTCAATCATCCTGTGATCTTAAAGAATGCATCACGGATGACCACCTATCGACTAAAAAATTCCCTTGCTCTAACACTACAAGACATATTCGAGGGTATCCCGGAAACACTGACAGACATTACGTCAGGGTATCCCCAATGCCAGCGGGATAGCTCCCACCACACGCATGGGAACTTCAAACTAGATTTAACCTAATACAAAATATATATTTACAGATACTTACAAAGAGCAAGCTTCTATACTGATTATGAAGAGGAGTCCGGAGAGGAGACGGACGCACGATTCTAGCCCCCCCGCACTCTCCTACATTCCCTCTCTGCCTTCTCTTTTCTTCGACCTCGCAAAAATTTGCAAAGACCGTCCATGCCTCAGCGGAGCCCATGATAACCTCAACAAGAAAATGTTCTCTGTCCAGATTCAGATCTAGATGAAGAGCCACAAATAAATCTCCTCTCTCGACCACCCACACGGAGCAATGAAGAAGGTATGCCCGACGTTGTCTATCGCTTCTCTGCAATGACAGCAGATCGGGAATTAGGACTTCTGAATTTCATAGAGATATGCCTCGAAACAACCATGTCTCGTAATGATCTGAATCATTCTAAAGATGAGACCACCATGAGTCCTCACCATCCATCTATCCACTAGTGCCTCCTGCACAGCTCTCGGTGCATTATGAGGAAGTCCCTCGAGTCGTCTCCTCCATTTGGTGACCAATCTATCCATTTCCTCGTCGCGGATGTGATTCATCACTCTAAGGAAGATGTACTTATCCCGCTCTATTATAGTCCTTCGTCTCGGGTAGAATCGTCTTCGATTGGCGATCATGTCAAATGGGACCATATATGCGAGCATGGACGCCTTGAATAAAATGTTCTGTACTCCCTTATCACTCTTAGAGACAGTTGTCTCTGCAGCCTCAACGCGTTGCGACAGATCACGCAATCGGTCATCATCGTCTGCGCTCAGACAAGAGCCCTATATAGAACAATCGATAGGACCACACTCACATAGACCCAGTATCTACACTCGCTCGGACCACTTATATTGGCCTATCAAGCGCTATACTCAAGGCCTTAGAAAACAATCGCTGAAAATATTCTCTAAAGGTCCACTTTGAATTTACTAGACCCAGGTATTTCATCGAAGTTCCAACCTTAATCTCCATCTCCCCAAGCAGCTTTGCACTTAGTACCTCCTACATGAAAACCATTGCCTCCGTTTAATCTATCGAAACCTTGAGATGCTCCATAGATCCTATCGCATCCAGTTCCGCCTTAATCAGTGTTTCGCGAAAGGAGGATATCATCCGCATAGCAAATGGCCAAACATCCCCACGGTAATTTTAAACCCAAGATAGAATCATATCCAACATTCCAGAGGATCAGTTCCAGGACCGAACCCTGAGGAACATCGCACCTCAGGGACCTTACATATTTGTCATCTCTGTCGACGAGGACAGCCACCGATCAGAGGCAATTATCTAGAACGCGTCGGAGCGTTCCTCTGGAACCTCTTTCTCAGCGAGAATCTCCCGAATAACAGACCACGAGAAGGAGTTGAAGGCATTGGCTATATTGAAGGACACCACCAATACCACTCCCATCCCTCATCGTTCACAATCATAAGTCTCCAGAGAGCATCAACCGTAGACCTATGATGGTCGAAATCCAAAGCCTCCGCAATACTCCCAAACGCATCCAGACACCGTGTAAGGCGATTAGATATGATTCTATCAAACAATTTGCCCACTCAACAGGTAGATGAGTCTGTATGACGAAAGAAGTCGGGCTTTCGCGGTTTTTTAAGCAGTACTAAACATGCCATTTTCCAGCATGCTAGAAAAATACCCTTTCTGAGGCATACCATAAAGCAGCTCATCAATT